CGTGCACCTACCTCGGTCACAGAGGTAAGAAGTTTCTTGGGTCTAGCGGGATACTATAGGAGATTTGTTAAAGATTTCTCCAAGATAGCAAGACCGCTAACCAACCTGACAAAGAAGACAACCAAATTCCAATGGAATGAAGATTGTGAAGCAGCATTCCAAGAGTTGAAGAAAAGACTCACAACTGCGCCGGTCTTGACACTACCGTCAGGGACGGAGGGATTTGATATCTATAGTGATGCATCCAAGAAGGGGTTGGGGTGTGTGCTAATGCAAAATAGGAAAGTGGTGGCTTATGCATCAAGACAACTAAAGGTGCATGAAGTCAATTATCCTACCCATGACCTGGAGTTAGCTGCAGTAGTGTTTGCTTTGAAAATCTGGAGACATTACCTATACGGAGCACATTGTAAGATATACACTGACCACAAAAGCTTGAAGTACATATTCACTCAAAAAGAGCTTAACATGAGGCAAAGAAGATGGCTCGAGCTTATCAATGATTACGATCTAGAAATCCAATACCACGAGGGAAAAGCTAACGTGGTGGCGGATGCTTTGAGCCGGAAATCTGAGCACTCATGCCGAGCAACATGGATATTACCAGAAGAACTATTCCGAGACTTCCAAAGATTGAGCTTGGAAGTAAAGCAATATGGCGAAGTAGATGGTGAAATACAGTTATGTACTATGACTGTTATACCATCTATCTTTGACGAAATCAAGAACGGACAACCGGGAGATGTAAAGCTCGAAAGAATCAAGGAAGGAATGAAAGATGGCGTCAACGGACCATTTAAGGTACATGAAGATGGGAGCATCCGATACAAGGGAAGGTGGTGTGTTCCACTGAAGTGTACAGATATTAAAAGACAAATCATGGAGGAGGGACACAACACGCCCTACTCGGTACATCCCGGGGGAGACAAACTATACAAAGACCTCAAAAAGAACTTTTGGTGGCCGGGAATGAAGAAAGAAGTAGCTGAATTTGTATCCCGATGTTTGAACTGCCAAAAAGTCAAAGCGGAGAGATGCAAACCCAAGGGACTCGTGCAACCCTTGGAAGTACCAACATGGAAATGGGATTCAATCTCAATGGACTTTGTCGGGGGGTTACCTTTAACAAAGTCCGGGAAAGATAAAATTTGGGTGGTAGTGGATAGATTGACCAAAACTGCAAGGTTCATTCCTATGAATGAAACCTGGAGCATGGAGAAACTGGCGAAAGCCTACGTCAAATACGTGGTCAAACACCACGGAGTACCTCAAGACATCGTGTCAGACCGAGATTCACGATTCTTATCCCAATTTTGGAAAGAATTACAAATGGCTATGGGAACAAAATTGAAGTTAAGTACTGCTTTCCATCCAACCACGGACGGACAGACCGAAAGAACAATCCAAACATTAGAAGACATGTTGAGGGCATGTGTTCTTGATTTGCAAGGATCATGGGATGAACACCTAGACTTGGTAGAGTTTTCGTACAATAACAGTTACCATGCTAGCATCAGAATGGCCCCATACGAAGCTCTATATGGTCAAAAGTGTAGGAGTCCCTTATGTTGGGGTGACATGGTCGATCAGGTGGTTCTAGGACCACAATACTTGCAAGATACTATTGAGAAAATCAAGGTCATCCAAGAAAGGATGAAGGCTGCCCAAGACCGACAGAAATCATATGCCGATCTTGGGAGAAAACCAGCTGAATTCGAACTAGGGGAGAAAGTTCTACTCAAAGTCCGGGAAGAAAGGGAAACTAAGCCCGAGATTCATCGGACCCTATGACATCCTAGAGAAGGTGGGAAAAGTGGCATATCGATTAGCTCTACCCACGGAGTTGGATAAGGTAACAACCGATTTGAAATCAAATACTTCTCTACGATTAAAATACATTCTTAACATACCGATATATGCTAGGTACATAACGTCTTTCACGTATCACAATTAAAGAAGTATGTTCGAGATGAGTCACATATCATCAATCCGGAGGTAAGAAATCCTAGACTTAACATGAGCCAAACGTAAATTGAAAAGAATATAAGTTAACCGTTATATTATTAGGTGATTGAAATGGATGAGACATTATCCTACGAAGAAAAACCCATAGAGATTCTCGATACTAAGACCCGAGAGACAAGGAAGAAGACAGTTAAGATGGTAAAAGTACTTTGGTCAAACCATTTGACCGAGAATGCAACATGGGAGACAGAAGAGGATATGCGTAAACGGTATCCTGAACTTTTCAATTAAGGTAAACATTCGGTTACGAGGACGTAACCTTTCTTTTAGGGGGGCAGGTTGTCATATCTTATAACCCTATAATACTTCATCTTCATACTTAATTCGCGTCTTAGTTTATGCTTCGAGGACGAAGCATTCTTTAAGGAGGGTAGAATGTGATACCTTGAAAATTTGAAATAAAAATAAATAAATAAATCAGATAAGTTATATCTGATAAATCAAATGAAAGTAAGATCAAAATATTTTTTTATACTTGGTGTATAAAAATATACGCACACTACATGCAATAGAATTAAACACTTATGTAGCATCGAAAAAAAAAATGGAAATAAATCAGATAAAATATAGGTGACATAATAAGTAAATAAATAAATAAATAAATAAAAATAGTAAGAATATTATAAATTACTAATAATAGCATCAAATTAATAAATGAAAATATCATATCATAAAACAATGACACATGCTAAGATCATCTACCAAATAATGTATATACATTATGTACATATATTTATATGTAAAACTCAAAATACATTTAAGTAATTAAAAATAATAAAATAAAATAAAATAAAATGAAACATCAATATAAATGGGAATCAAATCAGGGATCAATACACATGCCATGTTCATCAACTACCAACCTATCATTATGTATAGACATTATTATTATTATTATTATTATTATTATTATTATTATTATTATTATTCATACAATTATCAAATAAATAAAATAAACCATAAGGACCATCTAGACCTATAAATACACCCTCTTAGCCATCCTAAACACTGCAAATCGGAGAGATAGAAGCTATATATACATATACATATATATACATAATCTCGCCGGAAAATTTATGCCTATAATATTTTACGTATCAAACTTCGTAAAAACGATAGAGGAGGGTCGTGAGAGGTCTAGGAATACTTCCCAATAAATTCCAGACCGATTCGTAGTCACCGGAGTTTCCTAGAGGTCGCCGGAGTTGCAAGCCGTGGAAACGGGTCTTTAGAAAAGACACGATTTTGCCGTAGATAGGGGTGGCGGAGCTTCTCCTCGACGTGAGGATCATTTTGCAACTGGAATCGTCGAAATCCGTTACCTGTAAGTAAAGTTATCGCTCGCCGGAGTTTTCGGGATTCCGGTCGCCGGAATCGCGACCTGGAGAAGAGCTGGGAAGGAGACAACCCAGTCTTCTTGGGCCGGGTCGCGAATTTGGGCCGGTTCGGCCCGTTTTCAATAAAAAATTTAAAATAAAATAGTAAATGAAATAAATAAAATCTGGAAAAATATAAATAAAATACCTGGTATAAAAATACATATTCGGACCAAGAATAATTGAAAAATAATATTTGTAGCTATTTTTAATTGATTTAATTGTAATTGGGCCAAGTTGTACACATTTAGTAAATAATTAACTAAATGACGAAAATAATTATGAAATAAATATGGGAGCAAGATAGATTAAATATATGACTAACTAGGACATTTGGGACCATTTATAATTAATAAAAATTATGATTAGCATATTTAATTGTAATTAAACCGGTTAATAGATATATGAAATTAAGTGAATAAATAAGGGAAATAATTTTAAAATAAATATCTGGACAACCTAGGTCAAATATAGACCCAAAATATAGTTATGGACATTAATAAATTTATAAAGTCGATTCTTAAGCTATTTAATTTAATTGGGCCATATAAAACTAGTTAAGTAGTTAAATAAGAAAATTTTGATATTAATGGTGAAATAAATAAATCACTAAGATTGAAAATAATGTTATGGACTAAGAATGATGTTTGTAATAAAATAAGGAAAAGAAAATAAAGTTGGGTTATCTAGTATAAATGAATGACTATTTTGGATTTAATAAATAAATTATTGAATTAGTGGACTAATTAAATTAGTGTGATTAAATTAATAATTATTATCCTTGATTATTAGTGATTTGGACTCCATATAAATTATTAAACTATTTGAACTCATAATAAATTAGTTTATTAATATAAACCAATTAATTAAGTAATGTGTACTTAATACTTTAGTTAATTGACTTCATTGGACTAGTTTAACTAAATCAATTAGTTTAATGGATAAATTAGTTAAATTATGGACGTGGTAATATTTTTGGACTTTATATTAAAAATAGAAAATTAAAGCGAGATTAGAATTTGAGTATTGGCCTTAATTGAATTAGATTAATGTATTTAGCTATATTGATATAATTAAACTTATTTATTTGATTTAGATAGTTCAATTAAATTAGTGAATAAAATAAATAAAACTGGAGGATTGGATTAATTAATTTAATTGTATTAGTTAGTAAATAAACTATTTAACTAATTAAAGTGGTTATTGAGATTAGACTATCATTAATGATTATTATTTCGAATTATTGCTTACATGAAATTATTATTAGGAGATTTATTAAATAAATTATGTACATTATGTAAACTGAATTTTGGACTAAAAATACTTATTTAATTCGAAATAATGAAATCATTATATAGTTAAACTAATTGGACCAGTTAACTATTTAACCAAATAAAATTAAAGAAAAATCGAGTTGGATTATTATAATAGAAAATAATAAGAATGGGCTGGAAATAAACATTTAGTAAGATTTATTAATTTAATTTAATATTCATATTTAAAGAAGGAATTATGAAGTTAAAGTAATTAAAGGTTGGATATATAAGAAATAACGAAATAATAGAATAGTTATTGATTTAGAATTTTGATCAATATTAGAAGAAGAATTCAAGTGAAGATCAAGCTAGAGATTTTATTAAGGAGATTATCGCAATTTAAGGTAAGTTCTATGTCAACCAAAATGTTTTGCCTCGTACTTATATGTATGCAATATTTGCACTATGTGAATTATTTATGAATTGGAAATTATATGTTTGACATGGATCGAATATTTTGACTATATGAATATTGGTGGATTATTACCTTTTATGGATGATTAAATGTATATTCTTTTTATTAAAGAATATTGGTGGATTTATATTTATTACAAAGGATATTTTTGAGAAATTGTGACAAGAATGATTTGGGGAAAACTTAAAGTTTTCATAATATATATTCTTACGTCTCGAGAGAAACACGAGGCGTGGGTGGTTAGGGCTACTACTACTTTTGGTGAAATTTATTTGGGTCGGTAACCAGTCCGGCAATGACATACTCCGGTAGACATCCCGGGCTTTTATTTGAGGATCAAAGATCCTTTGGTGGTCGTAGTAGTAGTTACCTAATTTACCCTTGGACAATGTCCCTTGTGAGTAGGTGGTAGAAAACATCTCGCCTACTTGGGTTTCTTACTACTCGGAGGGCTTGGAATCCCTTTTAGAGGGTGTGCACACTTAAGGTAGAAATTCAGCTTCCAATTGGTGGTCGGTGGGAGCCGGAATTCCGGGATGAGTCGTAGGTAACAACGACTCATTGGGCTCGAGGAATCTTGAGTTTCGCCCACTCTTAAAAGAATCTAAAGTATTACTTTTGGAGGAATTGAAGGATGATATTATCTATTGTGGAAATTATTTTATGACATTAAACCATTTTGGAAATATGAGAGACTACTTTTCGATATATATACATATACAAAAAACCTATTTTCCAAATTATATTATTTTACGGGTTCGGGTGGAATCTTACTTAGCTCTAAAGCTAATTTTTGTCTCTTTTTCTCTTTTTCTCTTTGCTCTATTGTATAGATGATTATGATTATGAAGATTGATGTACTTGCTGCCCGAGTGTTCTGCTAGTTGCACACGTTTGATTAATTGTTATTGTTTAAATTTGTAATCCATAAACTTGTTATAAGTTTTACCCGATGGCTACTTGAATTTATGGTGGATAGCCTGTGCACTCAATCATGTATAGGTTGAGTGTGGCGGTGACACACCTGTTTTTCCATTAAAGACTTCCGCTGTACTCTAAATATATTTTATAATAAAGATGTTTTCATTTCAAAATGTTATTTTATTTTGGTGGAAAAAATGGGGGTGTTACAGTTGCCTTCTTGGATTTGACTAGCATGTCGTCAATATACACTTCCATGGTTTTTCCAAGTTGGTCTTTGAAGATCATGGTGACCAATCTTTGGAAAGTGGCGCCTGCATTTTTCAAACCGAAAGGCATGACAACATAACAATACGTACCTGTCTCGGTGATGAATGCGGTCTTCTCTTGGTCATCTGGGTGTAATTGAATTTGATGGTAACCGCTGAAGGCGTCCATGAATGTCAACATTTCGTGTCCTGCTGTGGCATCTGCGAGGACGTCGATGTGCGGCATCGGGAACGAGTCTTTGGGACACGCTTTGTTCAAATCAGTGAAGTCAACGCACACCCGCCACTTAGGTTTTTGGCCCTTTTGGTGGCCCTTTTTCTTCTACACTACAACAACATTAGCAAGCCAATTAGGATATTTTACCTCGCGTATTTTACCAGTGCGTAGTAGTGTCTCGACTTCTTGATTGATGATGTCGTTCCTTTCCCGGGCGAAACGTCGCCTTTTTTGCTTGACAGGTTTATGTGCAGGGTTTACATTCAGCTTGTGAGTGATCACTTGCGGGTCAATCCCCTTCATGTCGTCATGGCTCCAGGCGAAGACACTTTTATGCTCCTTCAGAAAAGTAATAAGTTCTTCCTCCATCTGAGTTGACAGGTTGCCCCCAATGCGGACGACTTTATCCGGATGATCTGGGTCGATGACGATTTCTTTAGTGCTGTTGTCATCTTCCCCCATCGGAATGAAGTCGCCCTTTAGTTGCTACGCCGAAGTCGTCGCAGAGGCGGTTGGCTTCATTGCTGTTTGATAGCATGACTTAGCAGTGGCCCTGTCACCTTGGATGGATTGCACTCCCCATGGCGTTGGGACTTTGACAACCTGGTGGTATGTTGATGGAATTGCCCCCATTTGATGTAGCCAAGGCGTCCCCAATATCATGTTGTAGGCGGGCAGATCTTGGACTACATCGAATTTTACCTGCAAATTAAGACCAACAGCATGTATAGGCAAAGAAACGTTACCTATTGTCTGACTTGGCTCGCCATTGAATCCGACGAGGGTGGAGCCGGAGACAGTCAGGTCTTCCTCCTTGTACCCCATCTGTTTTAGTGTCCTTAACGTTGTGATGTTGGCAGTGCTACCATTGTCAACTAGAACTCGTCTCACCTCACAATTTGCCACCCTAAGGGCAATGACTAAGGTGTCATGATGAGCATCATTTGGGCTCATCAGATCCGTTTCATCGAACGTGATGGGTGCATTTCTCCAAGCCTCTTCCTTTCGGACAATTTGATACACCTGTGATGACTTGTCTCGGGAGTATTCCCGAGCTTGTCTCTTCGCTGCAGAGTAGGTTAGTCCACATAAATCAGAACCACCGTTAATGAAATTAATTACCTTTTGTGGCGGTGTAGGTGAAGGAGGTCGTTCCTGATCTATGGACGACTTCTGACTCCTGTGTAACATGGATTTCGTCTGTTCTGACATGATCTCCGTTAGGTACCCGTTCCTCAAGAGGTAGGCAACCTCTTTTCGCAACGCGACACAATCCTCCGTGTTGTGTCCAATGTCGTCGTGGAAGTCGCATCTCTTATTGGGATCTTGTCGCCCGCTGGATTTGTCTGACTTCCTAGGCCATCGGACCTTCTCTCCCAATTTATCTAGGGCGTTGATAAGGCCAGTAGTGTTGACATTGAAGCAGTATGCTGGGATGGAAGGTGGCAGGCTAGGATCATCAAGCCAAGTAGTCGCCGATGCTACAGGTCGATCTTCATTCCTTGCATAAGGCTTCCCCGTCCTGTAGTCGTGTTTTCTGGAAGTGTTTGCTTTCCGTTGTCCTCCTTCATATTCATCAGGCCGATGACGTGCATGTTGATCTTCTTCAAGTCGTATGAAGGCTAAGGTTTTGGCCTGGACGTCACCAAAGGTCCTGCACGGATATTTGGTCAACTCCCTGTATAACTCTGAGTTTTCAAGTAATCCTCTCCTGAATGCCTCCACGGCGGTCGGCATGTCGCATCTGGGAATCGACACCTTCTCCTTGTTAAAGCGATGTAGGTAATCTCGCAGAGATTCATTTTGCCCCTGGACCACACGATATAAGTCACTGGTCTGCTTTTCCAGAGTTCGACTACTCGCGAATTGTTGGTTGAATAAGTTGACCAATTCAGCAAATGAGTTTATGCCCTCATTTGGTAGGTTGACAAACCATGTCAGCGCTGGTCCAGTTAATGTTGTTCCGAAGGCCCTACACATGCAGGCCTCTCGCTGATCAGGTCTGACCGAAATGGCTAGCATTCGCTGTTTATACTGAGCGACATGTTCCACTGGATCGGACGTCCCGTCGAACAGCCTCATTGTAGGTGCGGCAAACTTCCTTGGAATTTCGACATCGGTAATATGTCGTCCAAATGGGGATTCGGCATAGCATGTTTGCGAGGCGACATCCAGCGGTGGCGGAACTCCAGGTATCCCGTTGACCTTTTCCCGCATCTCTCTCATCTCTTCCATGAGGGTGGCCAGCGAGTTTACCAGATATGTTTGCAATGGTGACACTGACGCTTCATGTGGTGGTGGCGTCTGAGCGGCTCTTCGTTCGGCTGGCGACGATATATTGATGATTTCTGGTTCCAGAGGCCTTGGGTTGCCGGCGTCGACATGTCTGAATATGTTGACATGTCTTGGAATTTGTCTTCTTTGGGGCTCTGTAAACAAGTTCCGAGAGACATTCCTTCTGGGAAGCGGGAATGAGCCAGGACGACTTGATGGTCCTGCTCCTCCAGATGTGCCGCCTTCATGGTAAGGGACGACAGGTACTGCAAGTGACGACATGATGTTCGACGACGGCATTGGCTGGTTGATAGTCTGCAATCGTGATGTCGTCGGTCTGACCCGCAACGAATCTGGGAAAGAACATATCGGGGTGCTTGTATTTGGGGCTGTTTCCGGGATGAGGGGTTCATATGGTATAAGCTGTGAAATTACCGGGGAGTAAATTCCGTCATTCGAATCAAAACCCATCATCTCCGGGAACGATTCCTTCATGAAGGAGAATGTTGAGGTTGAAACCGGTGCTGACTCCATGTCCATGGTTGAGGTCGGAGCAGGCATTGAATCCATGTCCAACCTTGAAGCCACAGTCATGATCTCCTTTCCCCGTCGTGAGTTCGAGGCTATGGACGCCACCGACTGCACCTGGGAACGCAAAGCGTCATTCTCCCCCTGGAGGAAGGCTATTCGTTGACGCATCTCCTCCCTGACGGCTTCCAGCTGGGTTTGCATCTCTTCCCTCGACTGGTCGGACCTCTTGGCCGCACGCAATTCTTCTCGAACCGCTTCCAATTGGGCTTGAATCTCCTCCACCAAAGTGTTTGGTTTTTCGGCCATAGTTGATTTCTTATTTTTGCAAGATTTTCCCACAGACGGCGCCAAATTGTTTTAGCCAAATTAAGCTAAACTATGAATAATGATTGTGAGGGAATCGAACAACTAAGAATCAACACTAAGGAGATTAAGAACAAAAGAAATAGCAATAAGAATAGATTAATATTCGAACATAGGCTTCTTGCTTAATCGTAATGGTTTGCTAGAATCCAAAAGTGGCTTTTGATCATAGTTGATCGTGTATTTATGCCCTCCTCCTTGGTCCATACATAGTATATTAATTAATACATGATTTTCTTTCCTTAGATGTTTAAATTAACTAAGGGGAGTAAGAGCCTTCTTTATTTCTTTCCTTGCTTGATCCCTTTCCATGTAGAGTTGGTCTTTGCTAGGTTGGATTGCTAGAACTTTCCTAACCGTTGCTGGGCTAATCCGGGTAGTTCGGCGGTGCTCCGGCCTATTAAATTTTGGGCCTAACACTTTGATCGCCAGAGTCGTTGTTGTCTGTCACCGGTCAAAGAAACGGATGCAAACATCGGACGTCCCTGCTGCTTGTTCCGACGAAGAAGACTATTCCTGCATGCGGTAACCATCTATCTATCTCTTTTAATTTGGTTATTTACTTTTGATAACAATGATAATAATAAATAGTAATTATAATGATGATAGGGATAAAAGTGATAATGATAATAGAAATAACTGGGAAGGAGAATCTTAATATGGAATATGTTGGTAATATTCGCTTTTACTAAAATTGTCATTATTTAATTAGGTTGATTATATAAGGTAAAATAAGATGAATTGAATTAAGTTAACGGATTAGTAAGTGACCAAAACAATAAATTGACTAAGTGATACGACCGGGCTGATTATTAATATTTAATATGGATTATTTGGACCACCTTAAATCAGATTAACCAAAGCCATAATAACTAATAACAAAGGTTTGGTTAATGATTAATGAATTATATGGATTGATTATTTGTGAATAAAATTAATAAAATAGAAATTTGAGATGAAGTATTAAAATAATAAAAGGCTAGTTATATACTTAAACGGGTCTCGTAAATGAATATTTATAGATGAAGTAATTAGTGGAAGAGACTAAATAGAGTGGATCTATTAAATTATTAGTCAAGACTAAAGATGGAATAAATTAACAAATGGTACGGTGTTAAGTAAATTAAAAAGGAAAAATTGACAAGAATAATCCCACCTTTCACTGGTCTTCTCATAATAATCCTACCTTTACATAATCCCAAAATAATCTCACCTTTGCACTCCATCTTCTTTCATTGGACCCTGACCAAGTTTTTTACCTTTATTTGAAAATCTTATATAAATAATCTCACATTTATAAAGATATAATAGAAAAGTGAAAGGTGAGATTATTTATATGATTTTCAAAAAAAGAGTAAAAAACATGCTCAGGGTCCAATGAAAGAAGATGTGGTGCAAAGGTGGGATTATTCTGGGATTACCTAAAGGTGGGATTATTATGAGAAGACCAACGAAAGGTGGGATTATTTTTGTCAATTTTCCCAATTAAAAATTATAGAAACTGGGTAAATTGGGTAAGTTATGTAATAAGGGACCACCGACTAAGTTAATTTTGAATGCTGTAGTTTACGGATTTCACATTTCCATTATTACATGAAACATAAAAACTAATCCTACTAATCCTTATAAGAGTTATGCACATATAAATACTTAAATATCGCTATATGCCATTTCGTAATTGTAAAAAAAAAAAAGTAATTCGTTGTATTGTCATTTCCGTAAATAATTATGTAGTACATGTGTATAATTAAGGCCAGTTAAGATTTGTCAACGTACTTAATACGGAGTATATAAGTTTAAACACACGTATATAACCATATAGGTAGGTTATTAAGTTCTATAGATTTTATTTACGTAAGCACTGTACTCATACTGACTATAGTTTAATACTCCGTATTACTTATATATTTCTGAAATTTAGATTTGAAAGTCACATACCATAGGTTAAGTTTATATAGATATTAAATAATATATACGGAGTATATAACTCCACGCATTTGAAGGTTTAGCCTATAAAGTAAAAATAATTTATTAATATATGTATGTATAGTTAATTAGATAAATTATTAATAAGTTTAAAGCTTTGCACGTATAACTAGTTAATGGAACCATGAAAATTATTAAATGAGCTTTTGGACTAATCTAAGTAACAATTCGGACACTTCTAAAATAAATCATAAAAATCAAATATCATTAATTAATTAGAGATGGGCAGCCCAATTGAGTGTCTATTCATTAAAGATATTTTACACCTAAAACAAGACATCTAGCATCATCATCTTGAAGGAATAGTTTCCTAAATAATTCAGTCGGCTAATAATCTCATCTACTATGCATGGATTATCAAGACATCTCACACTATAAATAGATGTCCTCAATTGTCTCAAAACATTATACATAAACGGCCAGCTGCTACTAGTTCTAAATATACATACATACTCCGTATCAATTAAGAAAGAATTAAGGAATTGGAAGGGGTAGAAACAAACTGAAGAAAATAGCTTTGGGTTCAATATCATACAAGGTCCGTACGTTTAATTTTCTGTTTCCATTTTTTTTAGTATCAATCCGTCCCCGTTACGTTATGGGGATGTTGAATATTCATATGATCTTAATAATTTGTATGCTTTAGTATGTGTTCATTAATTTTTTGAGGAATAGTATTTTGTATGTCAAGGTTTAATTTGATACTCACTATATCGTGTATGAATCTAAATGTAAAATTTAAGAGTGGAATACAACTTAACGGTGATAAAATAAATAAATATGACTAACATAATTAGAAGATGAGTGGTGTATGAATAATTAGAATTTATTATGATAGTGACGATTGAAATAATTAGAATTTATTAATGATATATAACTACAATTATATTTTGCATATGTATATATTCATAAGTATATAAAAGAGATTTTACATATATGGATTTATGTGAATACGTATTTAAGTAAAAATATTAGGATCCTTAATTGATGGCAGTATATTATAAGTGTATATATTTTTGATAGGATCCTTAATACGTATAATATATATATATATATACATATATTCTAGATCATGTATGAGTAATCATATATATGCATACGTGTGTTGTTTATTAACAAGTGTGATGTTTATATTCACACACACAAACAAATTTAGCTAAGGTCCTACCTAGGTACATAAACATGTGTGCCCATATGATTGTGATCTAAAATTTTATAATATTCAATTATATATAACTTATTATTATATTACTACCTACGTAAGAATATTATTTGGACATGCTTATTTAGTCATACGGAGTATTTTATTTAAATAAATGTAGGAGTAAATTATTTATCAGAATCTTAAAGTATTTTACATATATGTACAGATAAGGGTTAGCCTTTAATATAATATATATACACATACATATACGTAAGTAAATTTATGTATAGACGTGACATGCATGTGATAATGTTTCTGACTAGGTAGCATTTACATGATTAAGCAGATAAATTATGTATGAGATAGTAATACTTTTGAATGAATTATAGAATGAAGTAAAATAATACTACCTCCGTAACCCTAGAATCTTCCCAGTTTGACTCTTTTGGGTCAAACTTTATAAACTTTGACCATTAATTATTCAAAACTCACATTATGTTATGATTAAAAATTTATTTTATATACCTCATTGTAAAACATATTATTTGAATGTTAATTTATTATGAATTTTATAAATATAGATATGTAGATATTTAGAGTCAAAGTTCAACTTAGAAGACCGTGAAAAGTCAAAACGAGAAGATCTTTGTGTTACGGAGGTAGTACCGGTACGAACTTACGGAAATTGGAATACAATTATATGATGTATTTTATTTCCTCATACTATGTAATTTGTTAAGAATACTTTTTGGCTTAAATGAATGAACCATTTTTTTTTATAAAAGAAAAATACGTTGGTGTTAAATAAATATTTAATGAAGAGTTTCTATGTAAAATTAATACGAAGTATGACATATTTCTATTCTACACATGACAAATGGTTTAAAATAATCTAAGATAAATATTTACTACGCCTTGCTCTTGATCCGGTACTCTGACGCGAATACTTCTGATCTGTCTGTTTAGTGTACTATGTACCATAGATACAGGGATCGCCAACATAGCTGCGTTTTCCGTTCCGGATCGCGCGTACCGGATCGCGGTACAGTTGCGTGCCGGTCGCTTCTGGTTCGCGACTCTGGTACGGCGGATTCCGGTTGCGGTTCGTGGTTGCCTTCCAGGTGGTACACCGTTTCTGAGTTGCGGTTCGCACGACCCCTCCAGCGTCTAACGAACTCAATAGTCTCTTCTCTTTGTCGTTCGCACTTCGCACTCCAAAATTCGAAGCGACGGCTCACTCAAAGTCTGAAACGACTTTTTATTTGGCCTGAAACGACGTTGCTTTTTCCAAGCCACACAGTTTTATAATTAAAGACTTATAACCTTCGTAGTTCACACTTCAAACCTTCTTAATTAATTGTGGTACACATAAGCAATTAATTAAAGACTTTATTATTGAAGTGAATTGTTTAATATTCTGTATTATATTAATTATATTTAATTAATTATATTTATACTTGGTAAATTGTACTACACATGTTTATGGCACACCGTACCATAACAAATGATACAGCGTTCCGCGTACCGAAATAGCGTACCGAAGAAGCATACCCCCCTGCGTATCAGATTTCTAATATTCGCGATCCGCGTTCCCGTTTTCGTACCGCGTACCATAGCGTACCGCGATCCATGTGACTATGCTATGTACACTCCTGAAATTCTGTTTTAGAGGAATTAGTGTTCTCCTGTTTAGTGTACTATGTACACTCCTGAAATCTTTTTAGAGCACTATTACTCTTCTGTTAAGGTTCGAGTCTCTTCGGTGATCTCGTCCTTTCTGTTCAGCTAGCTTCTGTTAGGGATTGGTACGTGTAGCCCCGGCGATTACGTTTCCACATCCTTTCTGGGTAATGTGGGTACAGACTTCGTGACTGTATTCCTTACCGTTAGTATTCCGCTGTCTAGGTCCAGTTTCTTGAGTTTAAGGCTAAATGAATATGTTTTTATTAATGATCAGTTTCAGAATAAGTATTATCTGATAATCATGATATCTGGATATGTTTCTGTTCGGTACACACACTCAAAAATATTCCCAGAATAAAGATTATCCGATACTTAGGATATCTGAATATGCTTCTAATCTGTATATGAATATTTTGATTCTCATAACAGTTATTCGGCTCACTCAGGTATGTCATATGTTTGCTTGACTAGATGCTAAATATGCTATGTTGCTATTTGATTTAATATGTGATTGTTATTATTACCATCATTGTCATGATTATTATTATTGTTATGTGTACCGTACCACTCAGCACATTGCTGGGCGGGTAGTTGTTTGTTTTTCCTACCCGTAGGTTGAAGTAGATTCAGCTAAGATAAGGATGCTGGGATGGAAGGAGGCGTAGGATTCATGTGCATACCATGTGTGTATTGTTTATAAATAAACAAATAAGAAGCAAGTTCGACTTTAAACTTATCTGATCATTTTCGTTGTGTAAATTCTTCTGCATATCTTACAATATTTGTGTTGTATAATATTAAGTAATTTATGGTGACTTAATATTTTCAGGTACGAAAAATAAGTTGACGTTTGAATAACGATGATTTATTTAAATACTAAATTTTGTTTTAAATAATTAAAAGTCTTTTGGTTAAATCTGTTTTGACTCCTGCCTCGTGACACACCGCTCGGGACGGCGGGGCCGGTTCTGGTAGGGCGTTACATTTTGGTATCAGAGCAATTGGTTTTAAAAGTGATTCTGAAAAAAAAAATGGGTCTAAAATTATTTAAAATTGTGTGTTGCATTGCATATTAGAAGTCAGCCTCTCATCTCAGTATTCAGTGATATCATACACAATTAAAGTAATAATGTACCTTATATAGTGGGCTTTTGTTTTACACACTTATATATATACGATCGCCTTTAATGCTTGGTCGAACATCCAAGATCGAGATCTTTTTGGCTTAAAATGAAATTATTCATGGCTCTAGGGTGAAGTATAAGTGTTAATCAAAACACTTATCAATTCCAAAACAGCGGTATAAGTGTTAATCAAAACACTCCTTAGGAGGGGTTTGAGAGTTGTCGTTTCTTATGACTAACGCCGCCTCTACAGCGGTGGTTCCGCCACCAATTCCGCCGGATAAGAATGCTTGGCAGAAGAAATCGTTTGCTGAGGTTCTCTCCGGTCGCACTGATCCTCCCTTCTCAGCAAAAACGCATCATCGACATAAAGGTTTGCCCGCTATTCAATTTCCGGAAGTTGAAGCTCAGACGTTGGAAGAAAGACATAAGCACTCTTTAGTTGGGTATTTCTTTAAGGGAAGGCCAAATCTTGCAATCATTCGTAATGCTTTTGAAGTTATTGGGTTTTCTGGAGTCTTTCATTTGGGTGTGATTGACCCTAAGCATGTGTTAATCAGATTTGAGTCGGATGAAGATTTTATCAGATGTTGGAATAGACAGTCTTGGTCGATCCGTGGTCATTTGATGAAGGTTACGAAGTGGACACCGGCATTCCAACCTAATGTGGAATCCCCGGTTGTTCCGGTTTGGATTGGATTTGAGGGATTGCCTATTCACCTCTTTGACAGGAGGGCATTGTTTGATATTGCAGGACTTATAGGGAAACCTTTAAAGATAGATGCAGCAACGGCTAATCTATCTCGCCCCTCTGTTGCGAGAGTTTGTGTGGAACTAGACCTAACAGGTGAATGTCCTCAAAAAATATGGATACAGTGTGGGTCCCATGGTTTTACTCAACATGTTACTTATGAAGATAAGCAAGAATACTGCAAGTCTTGTCTTCATTTGGGACACTCGACTTCTAAATGTCCCAAAAAGGCCCCTACTCAGAATAATAAACCCCAGCAAATTATCGGGGGTACCCAGGAGAAAGTTAATAAACCTACAGCATTACAAAAGGAAAAATGGATTGTAAAGCAACCCCAAATATTACAAATCACAAATGGAGAGTCTGCAAACGAAAATGTGAAGGAAACTGTAAAGGACCCCTCCACTTCTAGGCAAGGAAATTCTGGTTTTAGCATCAGGGAGACTGAATTGGTGGACATCCAAGATGAGACAGATACTGAGGAGGTGTACCATGACCCGGAACCTGCACCTGCAGTTGCTTCTAAAAATCAAAATGGGGAGAGTATTAATGATATTACAATGGATCTTGTTGGGAATATACCTGTAGGCCCTATTGTAGATGACTCTATTCTACAATCCATTCATAATAACTTGGAATATGACCCTGAAATTGCAGAAAAAGATTACTCATCAGATGGAGGGAATACATTCCAAATAGAAGACCTACAAACATGGAAGGATGCACTCCCAGATATCATAAACAGAGTAAATTTTGTTGTCAAACAAAATGAAATACATGCTGCCACTCTGGCTGAGAAGTGCAAAGATTCTGTTGAGGAGGAAGCTCCATTTATTATGGTTAGAAGGAAAGGTTACAAGAAGAAAAAAAACCTTGCCTGAGGTGCCAGTAATACCTGCAAGAATTACAAGGAATACTGCTAAGAAATTAGCAAATCTAAGGAATTCTTCTTCACCCAACACTGCCAACAGGCCCCCTTTAAATTCTCCCTCCCCTGATTTTAAATGAATTGCTTAATATGGAATTTAAGAGGGCTAGAAGGTGCTGCTTCTAGACTATTCTCTCTTATTCAGCATTGGCATATTCATTTACTTGTTGTTATTGAACCTATTGTTACTACTAATAAAGCAGATCAATTCATGAGACAATTTGGTTTTAATAAGGTTCTTTTCTCTGAAGTTAACAAAATCTGGATCTATTGGGATGAATCTGTCCTTAATATTTCCCAGATTGAATGGCACTCCCAGTTTACTCATTTCAAGGTGGCATCTAACACTTTCTCTGGTTTCTTTACTGCTATTTATGGCAATCATAGTTATATTCAGAGGAGGGTCTTGTGGCAAAAGTTGGTTGACTTCTCTACTCAGATCAATGAGGCATGGTTGGTGGGAGGAGATTTTAACGCAATTGCTTCTCATTCAGAACACTTAGGACAATCTTTACCTTATATGGTTAGTATGACTGATTTTGCTAATTGCATTTCATCTTGTGATTTGGTGGATCTGCCTTTCAGTGGTACTAAATTTACTTGGACTGGTGTTCGCTCTAATGGTAGACTTTGGAGAAGGTTAGATAGGGTTCTTTTTAACAGTAAATCCATTGAGGCTTTTGATCATATTCAGATTACTCACCTCAACAAAACCCCCTCGGATCATTCTCCTATTCTTCTACAAATGTCTAATAAAGGATGGAATGGTCCTAAACCTTTCAAATTTCTTAATATGTGGACTACACATCCATCTTTTATCAGTATTGTTGATAAATGTTGGAAGGCTCACAATTTTGGTAGAGGGATGTATGGCCTAGTTAGAAAGCTGAAATGCTTAAAGCATGATCTCAAAAAGTGGAACAGGGAGGTTTTTGGGAATATTTTTGAAGACATCAAAACTTGTGAGCAAGAGGTTTTAAATGCTGAGATTCAGTTTGAAGAACATCCTACCGAATCTAACAGGACAGATTGGTCTCATAAGAGGGCTCTTCTTATGACAAAATATAGGCTTGAAAGGAAATTCTGGAAACAAAAAGCTCACTTGTCTTGGCTTAAAGAGGGAGATTCCAATACACATTTCTTTCATTCTTTTGTTAAAGTTAGAAATAGAAAGCAGCAAATCACCTCTATAAAAAATGATGAAGGTGTTTCTGTAAATACCTTATCTGAAATTGGGGAGGCTGCTGTTCATTTCTTTTCTAATCTCTACTCATATGAACAAGAACAGAATCCTGAGGAAATCCTGCAATACATACCAAATTTATTAGAAAGAGCAGATAATGATGCATTAATTGCTCTCCCAGGGACAGATGAGATCAAGGAAGCAGTTTGGGGTCTGAATCCTAATGGGGCTGCAGGACCAGATGGATACAATGGAAAATTCTTTAAAAAATGTTGGCACATAGTGGGGGATGATGTTGTCAGTGCTGTGCAAGAATTTTTCATTGGGGTGCCTATTCCTAAAGGAATGTCCAGCTCTCTTATTGTGCTCATCCCTAAGAAGGACAACCCTGAATCTTTTACTGATTACAGGCCTATTTGCCTTTCTAACTTTGTTAATAAGGTTTGTACTAAGGTGCTTGCTAATAGATTGGCAATTCTTCTTCCTAAACTGATATCAGATGAACAAGCTGGTTTTTTGAAGGGCAAAGATATAGCAGATCAGATTCTCATTGGACAAGAAATGATTCATGCTATTGATAAGAAGGTTCGGGGATCTAATTTGGTTATTAAATTAGATATGGCTAAAGCATTTGATAGACTCTCCTGGAATTTTCTATCAAAGATTCTTCAGAAATTTGGTTTCGCTATGCATTTTATTCAACTGGTTCTTAATAATCTTCAGGCTACATTCTTCTCAGTCCTAATAAATGGCAGTCCACAAGGTTTTTTCAAACCTTTGAGAGGAGTTAAGCAGGGTGACCCTCTCTCCCCATTCCTCTTTATTCTGGCCTCAGAAGCTTTCTCTAGAGGTCTAAAATGGCAAGTTTCTAATGGTCTCATACAACCATACTGGTTAGGAAGATTTGGTTTTCCTGTTACTCATTTGGCATATGCAGATGATTTACTCATTTTTATTAATGGGGGATCTAGATCTATCAGAAATTTTAAGAAGTTTCTTTCCCTTTACGAGAATACCTCAGGTCAAGCTGTGAACTTTGATAAAAGTGCTTTTGTCTGTGGCAATCATACAGACTCCAGAAGCCAGAATATTAAAGACCTCCTTGGTATGCAAAAAACCTCCTTGCCTATTAAGTATCTGGGTGCAATGCTGCATAAGGGTATAAATAGGCATCAGTATTGCAGGAATATCATTAATAAATTTGATTCTAAGTTGTCTACTTGGAAACAAAAACATTTATCTCAAGGAGGTAGACTTATCTTGATCAAGCATGTTCTCGGCTCTATTCCCTTGCATCTACTTTCTGTTGATTGTCTGCCACAGAGGATTAGGAATATCTTGAACAAGAAGTTGGCCAATTTCTTTTGGGGGACCTCTAAAAACAAACCTAAATATCATTGGAGGACCTGGAAAAAATTGTGCTATCCTAAAGAGGAAGGTGGTTTGGACATTAGAAGTCTAAAGGACATTGAGAGAGCTTTTTCTCTAAAACTTTGGTGGAAGTGGAAGGATCACTCAGGTTTCTGGTCAAAGTTCATCCATTCTAAATATCCAAGAGGGGATGATTTGAGAGCCAAAATCACTGACTCACCTGTCTGGAAGAGATTATGCTCCATCAATGATACTGCAGCACCTTTGGTCGAGATATCTCCACATCACATAACCTGGAAACAGACTAAACATGGTCAGTTTTCTTTCAATTCTGCTTATAATTCCATTAGACACAGTTTGGGATCTGCTTTCTCTTATAAACACATCTGGAACCCTAAACAACAACTTAAGATTCAATTATTTCAATGGAAGTTGTTTAAAGGTATTCTCCCTATCTCTGACAAACTTGTCAGATTTCAAATGGTGATTCAGCCTTCAGTTTGCCCTATTTGTAGAGGTAATGGTGACACTACTAAACATGTTTTCTTGAATTGTACTTACTCAAGAGCAATCTGGAACTACTTTAGTCAAATTATGAATATTCGAATTCAAGGCCAGTCCATTAGACATCTCTTCTTCTCTTGGTGGTTTGAGGCTGGCAGTAAATCTATGATAGATATGTTTAAACACAATCTGCCAGGCATCATCAGCTGGCATCTCTGGAAACTTTATTGTGACCTTATTTGGGGATCTCTATCTGTTGCACCCCCAATCGATAATTTAATCTGGCAGATTAAATTGTATACTCAGAACTGGGTCATAAGCCTCAACAAGCAAAAGTTTTCATCGGTTCATAAGGTATTATTGGTGGAGAACCTTATACCTAAAGATTATCGTCTCACCCAAAGAACTCTCAAGCCTGTTCGCTGGTTAAAGCCTAAATCGGGTTTCAAACTTAATGTAGACGCTGCGTACATACCTGGGAAAGCTTTTGGGGGCGCGATTTTGCGAAATGATCTGGGAAGAATGATTTATGCAACATCTTTCCCGTTGGAGGCCTCTTCCAGCCTAGAAGCGGAGCTCAAGGTTTTGATTCAGGCTACGAAAATGGCAATTCAGGATGGCTTTTACAATTTCCAAGTTGAATCTGATGCAGAAGGAATTATTGATTATGTTTCAGGTAAGAAACACGGAAGATGGACGAATGACCTCGTAGAGTTCAGACAGATATGTTTTAGGAAAGGTATTCATTTTAGGCATGTGTTTAGAGAAGGAAACGGACCTGCTCATCTGCTTGCTTCTCTTTCATCGGCCCATTTAGCTGTTTGGTCTGATATCAATCTTCTACCCAACTCTATTAAGGTTGCCATTCACTATGATTTATTTAATATTCCTTCTTTTAGAAGGATACTTTAAGATTCTTCTTATTTTATTTTTCTTTATTGTGTACCTTCTATTGGGTCAGGTCTAGCCCCCTCAATAGCTTTTATTTATTATCTCCTTTTGTTGATGTATTTTTTGAGAAGGTATGCCTTCTCTGAAGAGGTTTTGGTCTAAGTCCCCCTCTTCTTTTGTATTTTTCCATATTTCTTAATAAAATACCGGCAAATATTAAAAAAAAAAAAAAAAATAACCAAAATCACCTTTAAAGATACAAGTTTAAGCAATTTCATATGAGCCTCATCAAGTTACTATATACAGAAGTTGACAAAATTGTCAGTACGGATTAGGTTTACTAAGTATAAATCTGTAATGAATTGCCAAGACAAAACATTACTATTTCAAAGTGAGCTAAGGCTTTCAAAAAAAAAAAAAAATATTTCCTAAAAGTATCTCTTTGGAGAAGGGTACCGCGTTTCAATTAAAAGGGTAAGTTAGGTCCGTGGTTTATTGGACCTAAAGAAATCACTGAGTGTATTGATCTTGTAGCCTATCAACTAGCATTACCACAAGAAGTGTGTCAAAAACATGATGTCTTCTATGTTTGACATATTAAGAAGATATAGATCAGATCCTTCACACGTTCCAACACCTAGGTCTATTGAGGTCAATAAAGATTTGACATATTAAGAAGAACTAGTATATATACTTGCTCGAGACACGAAGGTGTGAAGAAAAAAGGTTCCTTTAGTCAAAGTCATCTAGAGAAAACCACACACAACAGAAGAAGCAACTTGGGAAATCAAATACGCAGTATTGGCTACATATCCACACATGTTCGACAACATGAGTTAAGGTAATTTCGAGGACGAAATTCTTTGGGGGGAAAGAAATGTAACGCCCCAAAATCTGGTCTAGTAGTTAAGATACATATGCGTAGATTTTTAGGTATTATTTTCCTATCAAATTAAACATCCTCGTAAAATTATAAGGTAAATATTTTATCAAAAAAAAATTAATAATAAACTAATAGTGAAATAATAGATCTAAAATAAACTAAAAAAAATGATCATTTAGTACTTTTCACGTAATCCTATTTGACATAAACTTCTTATCCATTTAAATCAAATTTGGGAATCAGAATATGTGTGCTAAAAACTACATAAAGTTTTGTACTAATATGAAAAGGCCTTGCGGACAACTTTAATATAAAATATAATAGTAAAATGTACTCCGTATTAAATTCATTAGAAATGGGCGGCCAAATATGAGCTTCATCATTTTGAAAGAATAGTTAAATGTAATAGTAAACTTTAGGAGACAAATTTGACAACTAAATTAATTGAAATGAAGCATTCAAACAAATGAATAGTAAGCCACCTCATGGTATGGGAGAGTGAATGATCATACGTACTATTTGAGAGAAGATAATTATTGCTTTATGAAATTTCTAGCCACACACATGAAACTCAATTGGCTTTAAATAGGAGCCTACCTCCTCTCATTTTTACATGATCTGGATACTAACTAAAACAAGAAACTCCTCAAAAGAAATATACGGAGTAGCTCCACGAAGTATACAACTGTCTAGGAGGAGCCGTCTAGGAGGTTTCCGTTCCAATAAAATTTTAGAAGTATTTGTCTTTAAGGTCAGTACTTCTGACCCAGTTTTATTTAATGTATATTCTAATATTATTATGTAAGTATAATTTCCGTCCCCGTTCATATGTTATGGGGATGATGAATATTATTTAGTCTTAGAAATATTTGTATGCTTTAATTATGTGTTCATGATTTATAAGAGCTATTATTGATGATTACAGTATACATCGTATGTAAATGAAATTAAAATGAAAAAGTTCCATTGACGGAATTAAGGTTTGACTGCTTGTATATATCTGAAAAATAATAAAATGGACCACCGACTAAGTTAATTTTGAATGCTGTAGTTTACGGATTTCACATTTCCATTATTACATGAAACATAAAAACTAATCCTACTAATCCTTATAAGAGTTATGCACATATAAATACTTAAATATCGCTATATGCCATTTCGTAATTGTAAAAAAAAAAAGTAATTCGTTGTATTGTCATTTCCGTAAATAATTATGTAGTACATGTGTATAATTAAGGCCAGTTAAGATTTGTCAACGTACTTAATACGGAGTATATAAGTTTAAACACACGTATATAACCATATAGGTAGGTTATTAAGTTCTATAGATTTTATTTACGTAAGCACTGTACTCATACTGACTATAGTTTAATACTCCGTATTACTTATATATTTCTGAAATTTAGATTTGAAAGTCACATACCATAGGTTAAGTTTATATAGATATTAAATAATATATACGGAGTATATAACTCCACGCATTTGAAGGTTTAGCCTATAAAGTAAAAATAATTTATTAATATATGTATGTATAGTTAATTAGATAAATTATTAATAAGTTTAAAGCTTTGCACGTATAACTAGTTAACGGAACCATGAAAATTATTAAATGAGCTTTTGGACTAATCTAAGTAACAATTCGGACACTTCTAAAATAAATCATAAAAATCAAATATCATTAATTAATTAGAGATGGGCAGCCCAATTGAGTGTCTATTCATTAAAGATATTTTACACCTAAAACAAGACATCTAGCATCATCATCTTGAAGGAACAGTTTCCTAAATAATTCAGTCGGCTAATAATCTCATCTACTATGCATGGATTATCAAGACATCTCACACTATAAATAGATGTCCTCAATTGTCTCAAAACATTATACATAAACGGCCAGCTGCTACTAGTTCTAAATATACATACATACTCCGTATCAATTAAGAAAGAATTAAGGAATTGGAAGGGGTAGAAACAAACTGAAGAAAATAGCTTTGGGTTCAATATCATACAAGGTCCGTACGTTTAATTTTCTGTTTCCATTTTTTTTAGTATCAATCCGTCCCCGTTACGTTATGGGGATGTTAAATATTCATATGATCTTAATAATTTGTATGCTTTAGTATGTGTTCATTAATTTTTTGAGGAATAGTATTTTGTACGTCAAGGTTTAATTTGATACTCACTATATCGTGTATGAATCTAAATGTAAAATTTAAGAGTGGAATACAACTTAACGGTGATAAAATAAATAAATATGACTAACATAATTAGAAGACGAGTGGTGTATGAATAATTAGAATTTATTATGATAGTGGCGATTGAAATAATTAGAATTTATTAATGATATATAACTACAATTATATTTTGCATATGTATATATTCATAAGTATATAAAAGAGATTTTACATATATGGATTTATGTGAATACGTATTTAAGTAAAAATATTAGGATCCTTAATTGATGGCAGTACATTATAAGTGTATATATTTTTGATAGGATCCTTAATACGTATAATATATATATATATATATATATATATATATATATATATATATATATATATATATATATATATATATATATATATATATATATATATATATATATATATTAATATATATATATATATATATATACATATATTCTAGATCATGTATGAGTAATCATATATATGCATACGTGTGTTGTTTATTAACAAGTGTGATGTTTATATTCACACACACAAACAAATTTAGCTAAGGTCCTACCTAGGTACATAAACATGTGTGCCCATATGATTGTGATCTAAAATTTTATAATATTCAATTATATATAACTTATTATTATATTACTACCTACGTAAGAATATTATTTGGACATGCTTATTTAGTCATACGGAGTATTTTATTTAAATAAATGTAGGAGTAAATTATTTATCAGAATCTTAAAGTATTTTACATATATGTACAGATAAGGGTTAGCCTTTAATATAATATATATACACATACATATACGTAAGTAAATTTATGTATAGACGTGACATGCATGTGATAATGTTTCTGACTAGGTAGCATTTACATGATTAAGCAGATAAATTATGTATGAGATAGTAATACTTTTGAATGAATTATAGAATGAAGTAAAATAATACCGGTATGAACTTACGGAAATTGGAATACAATTATATGATGTATTTTATTTCCTCATACTATGTAATTTGTTAAGAATACTTTTTGGCTTAAATGAATGAACCATTTTTTTTTTATAAAAGAAAAATACGTTGGTGTTAAATAAATATTTAATGAAGAGTTTCTATGTAAAATTAATACGAAGTATGACATATTTCTATTCTACACATGACAAATGGTTTAAAATAATCTAAGATAAATATTTACTACGCCTTGCTCTTGATCCGGTACTCTGACGCGAATACTTCTGATCTGTCTGTTTAGTGTACTATGTACACTCCTGAAATTCTGTTTTAGAGGAATTAGTGTTCTCCTGTTTAGTGTACTATGTACACTCCTGAAATCTTTTTAGAGCACTATTACTCTTCTGTTAAGGTTCGAGTCTCTTCGGTGATCTCGTCCTTTCTGTTCAGCTAGCTTCTGTTAGGGATTGGTACGTGTAGCCCCGGCGATTACGTTTCCACATCCTTTCTGGGTAATGTGGGTACAGACTTCGTGACTGTATTCCTTACCGTTAGTATTCCGCTGTCTAGGTCCAGTTTCTTGAGTTTAAGGCTAAATGAATATGTTTTTATTAATGATCAGTTTCAGAATAAGTATTATCTGATAATCATGATATCTGGATATGTTTCTGTTCGGTACACACACTCAAAAATATTCCCAGAATAAAGATTATCCGATACTTAGGATATCTGAATATGCTTCTAATCTGTATATGAATATTTTGATTCTCATAACAGTTATTCGGCTCACTCAGGTATGTCATATGTTTGCTTGACTAGATGCTAAATATGTTATGTTGCTATTTGATTTAATATGTGATTGTTATTATTACCATCATTGTCATGATTATTATTATTGTTATGTGTACCGTACCACTCAGCACATTGCTGGGCGGGTAGTTGTTTGTTTTTCCTACCCGTAGGTTGAAGTAGATTCAGCTAAGATAAGGATGCTGGGATGGAAGGAGGCGTAGGATTCATGTGCATACCATGTGTGTATTGTTTATAAATAAACAAATAAGAAGCAAGTTCGACTTTAAACTTATCTGATCATTTTCGTTGTGTAAACTCTTCCGCATATCTTACAATATTTGTGTTGTATAATATTAAGTAATTTATGGCGACTTAATATTTTCAGGTACGAAAAATAAGTTGAATAACGATGATTTATTTAAATACTAAATTTTGTTTTAAATAATTAAAAGTCTTTTGGTTAAATCTGTTTTGACTCCTGCCTCGTGACACACCGCTCGGGACGGCGGGGCCGGTTCTGGTAGGGTGTTACATAACAAGTCAGTGGTAGAAACCTTGGCCCCAACCTCGGCCCTCCCGGTCACTGTGGAAGCAAGTAGTGCGTGGATAACTCGGAACTTCCGGGGATAAAGAAGTGTGGCTGGGGTCTCTCGGGGCTTATAAGTCTTGCCCCCTCTACTAATCGATTCCCAAAAGGCCTGTCTGTTCACATGCGGGGGGAGGTCACAAAGGCCAATCTCGTCTCGTTGTCCTACCTCAACATCATCAAAACCCAAATAGCGCTCAATCTGACTAAGCGAAGTATCCAGCTTGTCTTCAAATGCTTGGAACCTTATTCCCCTTTTGAGATAGTCCATCTCCGGTATGAGCTTTGGGAGCTCAATTGTGGCTAACACCTCACACGTGACTTCCTTGAAAGTCGGCTCTTGGATGCCGAAAAATAAATGCTGCCACCAACCTCTCCGGATCAAGTGCATCACCTCATCCCTCAGTGTGGGCTCCGCTGCCATCAGTGTGGGCTCATCTGGGTGGTACATCGTACCCACCTTCTTCTTCATAAGCTCTAAGTATGTCAGCATCTCCTTGTCTGTGTCAAACTGGGGCTGGTAGCGGCCGCCTCGTGTGCCCTGTGAGCGGCTAGAGCTAGCAACTACGGTGTGAGAAGCGCGTGTGGCGTTCTTTGTGCGAGCCATCTGCAAAAATAGTGAAAACAAAAGAATTCCAACGGGGCTTCAAGAAGTTAGAATTAGGCACAGAAAAGAATAGCCCCGTCAGCAACAATGATCCGCCAACATCAAAATACGCCAAAAGGAAACCCAAGTTTAACCAGAATAGTTGAAAAGTTTGAACTTTTATCCAAGAAAGGTTCTTTGAACAAAATTCAAGTTTTCAACGACACACGGTATAAACAAGGTCACAAGCAAGCTTCATTCATCCCAACAATGTTTGTAGAATAGAGTTTGTGACACTCCGAAGATTTTATTAAAATAAAATAGATAATTTTACATATAAAAAAAAAAAATTATTACGATTGTTAAAAGTGATACGGTTATGTTAGTCAGTTAGTTTTACATATATACGTACATACATATACGTTAATACCAAGTATACATTATTAAAACCATGTACACTACAAGATTAATAATTAAGTAGATATTGACTTTTCAACACCATATACACGTACATACTACTAGTAAAATACACGGACCAGCTTATACATAGCAATTATTTTGAATATTCGGTGTATTAACGTATATGAACTTACTGATATGGAAACCGTCCAGAATCTTCAAACCCACGAATACTTCATACCTAAAATAATAATATATACACGAAGTATAGTGCCCCGTATTACCTACATGCATGGAAACATATTAATGGGTGTTAATTGCTTAAGATCTGCTACGAGCCTAGAACCTTCAAAACTGGCCTATAAATACACAACGATTCGACCACCTCCGCATCTAAATCCACACCTCCACATACGAAATACCTCTAACATTACACCATCTCACCGTTCACTTCGACCAAGAAGAAGACCCGCTATTGCTGCAGAAGGATCGGACGCCGGGGCTTGCCGAAGAGGGGACCAGGTCTAACTATTGACGAGGGACGGAGGAAGAACTGGTTACCGTACCACCACCGCCACCGAAAGGAAAGATCTGACGTTGACCGGACCGCCACCGCACTACCGAACTGGTACCATAGCTATCTTACCCTACTTTCCTACAAATTTCCGGCCAAACGACGGTAGTACGTCTCCGTAAATTTTTAATAAAACGTAGTAATACTGACTGGTCCACTCATAACTTTAACATCAATAGTAATAGAATAATACCGAGTAATAATAAGGAGTAACGATAGTCATATAACAATAATAAAAATATCGTCTAACTTATCATTAGTAATCATTAGGAACAACAAAAAAAAAAGGATGATGGTAATAAAAATCATAAATGAATAATGTTAATAATTAAATAAAGGAATTACGAATAGTAAATTCTTATTCTTATATGGATATGATTCTCGGGTAGTCAATTACCATATAACTTAGGCTGGACTGCATGAATGTTTTAATTTAGTTATTGGGATCAATTTGACTAGCCAATAGTAAGTGAACAAAAAGTTATACGGTTATACACGTAGCAATAAACTGGAATAGGAGAATGTTAATATGGGTTCTCACTGTGCTAAGTTGACATGATTTCTAATCAAAATCAATATAATAAGGGGTTACGTAGCAAGTAGTTACTGGATCATTTACCTGTCCGAAATAGTAATAAACAGACTAAGTGGACTAGGAACTTACATGATTAAAATAGAATACGATTGTTCGTTGTTATTAAACGATTGGGTTGAAGGGTTGATACCAAGAATTAACTCAATTGGTTAAAGAAGTTTGTTGGATACAGAGTACTTCTATCTATTGAAATAAAGTAGCAGACTAGCTAGTTAAATTAATAAAGTCCATTAGTGATTCACGACTCCGAATTTCCGAATTCGTATTTGAGAATGAATGAAATCCAAAGTAATTAGACCATAGTAATGACAAACTTTAATTTATTAATGAATGGATGAAAATGATAAAATAAATAAATAAATAAATTTAGCCGGTTGAGTGGATTGAGTGGATGAGATATCGAGGACTAATTATAGAGTTTTGATTTATTAAAGGTGATTGCTAAATAAATCAAGTTAAGAGACCAAGTAGGAGTGTCACACTTTAAGGTAAGTTTCACGTCAACCGAAATTAGTTCTTTTTACTTCGTGATTTCTTTGAATATTTTTGTGTGTATATTTGAAAATTGAATTTATGTGTGCTGAAGTTGATTAAATATTATGATATGAAAGGGTTGTATTTGGGATATTAGTTGATATATTGGTTTGTTAATATGAGTTATTGAATACAATTTTGGGAGACTTTGTAATAGTATGTAATTTGTTATCTTTGTGGGAGTTTGATAAAAAGGAAATTTTTGAAGTATAAACTTCGATTGATTTTGAGAAAGCAAAGAAAAATAAATATTTTCATAAAGAGTGGGCATCACGGGAGAAATCCGTGGTGTCGGTTTTCCACGT